GAGAGAGAGAGAGAGAGAGAGAGAGAGAGAGAGAGAGAGAGAGAGAGAGGGGGGACAGAACGCCAAAACAACATACAGTCGAACCTGCATACAACAGCCACGCATGCACGCACAGCCGGTCGCTATACAGAGGGACGTGACCGCTAACAGCGTACCTGTGATGCGGGCGGCGGGAGCCAACTCGAACCATCCCCTGCTGGCGGCGGCCACCGCAGTCGTCTGCTGGGTCCATCCGCTCCCGATAGTCGTCCGTTGGGACGCGCCGCAACGCTGCGATGCTCCCTGTCCGTCCACTAACGTCACCACTGTTGGATCGATAATACTACAAACTCACTCAAACAGTACAGACTTTGTTTACTTCAAACCTTTACTTCAAACAGCACATCACAGCACCCCAACAACAAGCCCCCTCTCGCACATGCGCGAGCTGGGCATTCGCTTCCTATCCAGACGGAAAAGGAAATAACTCTCATTAAAGTTGGCATGTATACAGATAGTACAAAGTTAACAATCTCCACTGTCTTTTGTTTTATAAATGATTAAATACAATAAACAGCAAATGAAAAAAAAGTTTGTTGTTGTTAGCACACACAACACATACCCAAGCATGAACTTACTCAGACATGCAAAAATATACAAGATAAACACAAACAAATTACTGAACCATACACATGTATGATTATGTTTGAGCAGTTTGTAACAAACAATTAGCACTGATGCTATTATAAATATTGTTGTCTGAGAGTCATAATGCAATAAATTGTCACTGATTGCAAAATGTTCATTCACGTCTCGTCACAAGTGTATTATTGCGGAATAATACACGTTTCCAGAGTTTTCATCAGAACTAGTGGAGATGCGCCACGTTTTGTGAGACAATCCGCTAACTGAGTGTCAGTGTTAGACCACCTAATTTCTCGAACCTGTCCACTTTCGATCATGTCTTTAATTACACTTATTTCTATCCTCAAACGTTTCTCTGTAACACAATTTGTAGACTTCATCGCCTCACATAATGACTTGCAGTCAGTTACACAGACCAGTGGTATTGTCATGGAATCCGGCACTCCAGTGGTAAGCTCTGCGAACAGTGCCAACAAAAACACACCCGTGTCTATACCATCAGCCAAAGAAAGTGTCTCTGCGGCTAGGGTACTACGGACGACCCTACGAATTTTCTTAGAACTCCAACATATTGGCACCAGTTTTCCATGTTCATCAACTAGACAAACCAGATGCCCACCCTGTGTGCTACCATCAGTCCGATTTCCGAGTGAAGCATCACTGTAGACAAACATTGATAACTGTCCTTCAAGACGTTGGAACTTGAGTGCTAATTTCTCAGAGTTGACCCTCTTAATCAGCTTATTAGCATCCAACAGATCACTCACTTTAGCATGTTTGATAGTCGCTGCCAAGTTACTAGCATCAAATATGATATCTGGTCTACTCTGGTGTGCTATCCACAGAATCTGACCGACTTTAGACCTCAATATCTGACGCTCGCTGTCCGTTACATCTGCATCTTTCTGCAATGATCTGGCCTTGTCAATCTGAATAGGTGCACGACTCTCAGCGTATTCGTTCTGGTTGAGATAAATGTCCCCATTCTTATACGAAATATTCATGCCGATATATTTGAATGTTCCAGCATCTTCTCTACCAACATTGAACGTTGTCCTGATACTTTCAATGATTGTTGTTTGAAACTCAGGAGTTCCTCCCCAAATGAAGTCATCCACATGACAAGCCAGTACTCCCATCAATCTACCAGACTCGTCCAACCAGTAGAACACGGCCGGATCCACTTTGGAAACTTTTGCACCAAGTTCAATCATGACAGTGCGCACTCTGTTGTACCAATACAAAGATGCATCGTTCAGTCCAAACACACTTGTGAAGATGCCAGACTTTTCCATTGCAGTTTCCATCTTTTCCATGGCGGTTTGAGATAAATATCTCTTTTCAATTTATGTCCTTGTAGATATGCAGTTTTAATGTCCATTGACTGTGGTTTCCAATAGTTGTTTGCGATGATGGCTAGAATCATTTTCAACGATTCCTCCGCACACGTTGGCGAGTCCTTCTGAATGTCAGTTGCAATCTCCTCAAACCCCCGGGCAACCAGTCTCGCTTTCGGTATGATGCCCCCAAGAGTGTCTTTCAGGGTACACACCCCTTTTGTCCAATATCCTCTACTTCCGCAAAAACCTCATATTTTCTCCAGTTTTCAATTTCTGCTAACTTTGCGTCGGTAAAAGAGACATCGCTCGCCACTAGTACACTGTCATCCACTTGCTGAGTTTGTGGTACATGTATGTAGGGCCCAACAACTTTCACATCTGATAGTTGACTTATATCAACTGGCTGTATTTCACTCTCGGAGTTGTCATTATCGACATATTCCAAATTGTACCAATGTTTATATTTTCTATTCGCTTTTCCAGCTCGACTAAGAACTGTTGCAGTAACTGTTGCCCCAGTATCTCCATCTGTATACGTAATTACCTGTCCTGCTTTCACCATTGGTGTACATGCGGGCTCCTGTCTTGTACCCGGTGCTTCATGATCATCATCCGACGCATCATCAACGACCACAGTTTCAGTGTGTACAGTCGTGTGTTCTGTATTTGTCGGGGTGATCTCCCCTATTGGCTCCTTGCGATCAATCTCTGGATCGGCCACTTTTCTGAATCTACACTGATGAACGCGAACCACTAGACCGCCATGTCGCACAACAACTACCACACCATCTCGTCCAGTGACAACAGCGAGACCTTTCCACTCCAGACTGTCAGGACGCTTGTAGTAGACTATATCACTAGGGTAATAGACTGCACATATAGGCCGGATTTGCTTTCGTAACGCGTCTAATGCGCTCGGAACTTTCTGCCTCCGTGAATGCTCTCCTGGCCTCGAACAGTGACGCAATATGTTCTCCAACCACTCGACTGGTAGTTTGTCCTTCTAGTGCAGGTGGTTTATCTGTTAGGACGGATGGCAAATTGGGGTTGAGACCAAACACCAGCTGATAGGCACTGTAACCATGAACGTTACACAGACTGTTCTTGGCCATGAGTGCCTAACAGAGGGCAGTCTCCCAATCACAGTTTCTCTCGGATTTTACTTTCAAGAGAATCGAAGTGAGTGTCTGATTGTGTCTCTCCAGAGCACCATTGCTCCATGGGCTGGATGCCGCAGTCGTCTTCACTTCAATGTTGAAATTCTCGCACATGTCGTGTACCTCCCTATTGTTAAATTCACCCCAATTGTCACTGTACAATTTCTGTGGAGCGCCGAAGATACTGATCCAACGATGAATGAATTTCTTCACAAATACTGAGCTCTGTTTGTATTGTATTTTTGTTTTTATTATCACGTTAGTTAGCTTACCGACTTTACTTGGGGTGGGGTCACGTTTGACATTACGTTAGTTAGCTTACCGACTTTACTTGGGGTGGGGTCACGTTTGACATCACGTTAGTTTGCTAACAGACTTTACTTGGACTGTGGGGGTGGGGTCAGCTAACAGACTTTACTTGAGGTGTGGGGTCACGTTTGACATTACGTTAGTTAGCTTACAGACTTTACTTGGGGTGTGGGGGTGGGTTCAGCTAACAGACTTTACTTGGGGTGTGGGGGTGGCGATAGCTAACAGACTTTACTTGGGGTGGGGGGGTCAGTTAACAGACTTTACTTGGGTTGGGGGGGTCACGTTTGACATCACTTTAAGCTGGGTTTACACTACCGACTTCATGTTGGCGAATTGGCGAATTGGACCAATTTCGCAATTCGGCAACTCCGAGTTGGCGAAAATAGAACATGTTCAAATCTCCCAACTAGTTGCGATTGCTGGCTGGTCGCGCAACTTTTGCGTTTACACTGCCGAATGTCGGTTTCATAGTTGGAAAGTTGGTCCAATTTGCCAATTCGCCAATTCGCCAATTCGCCAACACAAAGTCGGTAGTGTAAACCCAGCTTTAGTTAGCTTACCAACTTTACTTGTGACTACTATGTCTGACGATGCTTCTCTCATCACAACTGAAAACAAGACAAATGACGTCAAATCGCAGCAGCGTCCAGATTGTTAAAACTCGGCCATATATCACCTGCCACATAGATTTTATGTGAACCCGCCGTCTCTATGTTAGATTTGGAATTGAATGTCAGATTGGAAATTTACATGGTTGTGATAATATTAGTATGCTATCTATTGTATATACATTATTATATAGCTGATGTGTGACAGGGCTGTTTGTATCATCAGGGCCGTAGCCTCTGGGGGCAAGGGGGCGGCTGCCCCCTGCCTAGATTTTGGGAGCAAAATTTTTAAAAAAGCTAATAATCGTAAATAACCCTAACGTAATTTTTTGGTCACTTATCCGTGAAAGCCTTGTCTCAGACCCACCGCTACCACACTATGGACGTCGATCAAGAGCTGTGCCCGTTGCTCATCGTTACACAGTCGAGTCATTAAATTTTGCCCCCCCCCCCCGCCGAGGAATTTGCTCAGCCTACGGCCCTGATCATGGACTATAATTGAAGATGACGGTGAGAAACTAAACCAGAGTCCTACCCGTCGGTTTTTTGTCGCGCTGGCTGTTCATCTCCACAAACCCATCCTCGAGGATTTTGACATTTTGATGAAGTTGATCGACTACCTTCTTTAAGTTTGTGATGACGTCTTTGCTCGACGCCCATTCGTCTTGAATGCAGGTGACGATTTTGTTCAGCCATTCTATTTCCTATATATAGACGTCGTACATCATGCGTGAAAAATGCGCACGCAAAAAAAGAAGAGAAACGCTAACTGAGAGAGAGAAAAAATTTACGAACGCGGGCGTATATATAGGATGGGCGTGCTGTCGTACGGTGCATTTCTAAAGCAATGTACTCGAATATGTTTGAACGTATAAGTGAATGTAATCCTCATTGAATGTAATCGATTAAATTATTTGGCAATGAGTTTACCAAGCTTTGGTCTCGCTAATGGGTGAGATAGGGCCGGTGTGAGGGTATTTGAAGCGGCGTGGATAATGCTGTAAGAAATAAGGACAGGGAGATGGATCCTTCTTACTTCGTTTCTGGCCGTGCCCGCGGCCAGTTCCTCTAAGTGGCGGCCATGTTCCCTCACAGTCTCGAGTAGAACATCGGGATCCTTGTCGTGCAGTACTGCGATGTTCTCTTCGTTTTCCAGCTGAATACAAATACATCACAGTTTTATAGTTATGCCATCTGTATCATGTGTGTGTGTGTGCGTGCGTGCGTGCGAGCTACAGGTCTGTGGTCGAGTGAAGGGTTACATAAGTAGAGCTACAGGTCTGTGGTGGAGAGAAGAGTTACATGGGTAGAGCTACAGGTCTGTGGTGGAGTAAAGGGTTACATGGGTAGAGCTACAGGTCTGTGGGTGGAGTGAAGGCATACATAGGTAGAGCTACAGGTCGGTGGTGGAGTGAAGGGTTACATAGGTAGAGCTACAGGTCTGTGGTGGAGTGAAGGATTACATAGGTAGAGCTACAGGTCTGTGGTGGAGTGAAGGGTTACATAGGTAGAGCTACAGGTCTGTGGTCGAGTGAAGGATTACATGGGTAGAGCTACAGGTCTGTGGTGGAGTGAAGGGTTACATATGTAGGGGTACAAGTCTGTGGTGGAGTGAAGGGTTACATAGGTAGAGCTACAGGTCTGTGGTCGAGTGAAGGATTACATTGGTAGAGCTACAGGTCTGTGGTGGAGTGAAGGGTTACATATGTAGGAGTACAAGTCTATGGTGGAGTGAAGGGTTACATAGGTAGAGCTACAGGTCTGTGGTGGAGTGAAGGGTTACATATGTAGGGGTACAAGTCTATGGTGGAGTGAAGGGTTACATAGGTAGAGCTACATGTCTGTGGTGGAGTGAAAGCCTACATAGGTAGAGCTACAGGTCTGTGGTGGAGCGAAGGGCTACATTTGTAGAGCTACAGGTCTGTGGTGGAGTGAAGGGTTACATAT